TAACATTTTTCCCTTCTAAAGTCTAAACTACTTGTTTTGAACATTTACCGGTTTTTACAACAGCCAGCATTGATGTACCTTTTTCTTTTTTAACCTATTCTAATTTAAATTTCTGTATATTGGAGAAATAAATAGAAATTAAATATTTGCTAGATTAAAATTTAAAATATAATATGAGAATAACTCATGTCAGACTCAATATTCATAAAAAAAAAATTGGAATCATAACTTTAAAATCATCATCTTTAATAAATATTTTTAAAAATCAATTGCTAGATTTAATATTTTGTTAGTATAAATTATGTATATCAATTTTAAGTTGATTTAACATTTATGTCTATTTGATTAAGAAATTGTATTTTAATATATATTTAATAGTGTTTAATTTTGTATAATCAACAAATTAATTAGATATAAAAAATCAATATGAAAATTGGTATTGCATAATTTATACAAATAAATCATTTAATCTAATGGGTAGTTTTTGAAAATATTTAATATAAATATTATGCTTTTTAAGTTGAGAGTCTAATTTTGTATGGTAGTCATGACTTATTTACAATATTCTCATAAAATATATCAATTAAACAATGAATTTGCTTCTATGAGTAGAAAAGAGACTCTAACCATTTAATTTAACTTTTTAATATTTAAGACAAGATTTAAATAAAATTTTAACATAGCAAATCAATGTTCATAGAGAAACTTCTTATTCATTTATGTAGTTCTTTTTGCTTAATCATAATTATATTAATTTGACCTACTGACTTTTAAAATGAAAAACTTAAGTGAAAGTTAACATAATATTCGATTCGACCTTTTTTTTTAAGAGAAAACTAAAGTAGAAAGATACCACTGCAACAACAAAGTGGCAAAAGCTGTTAAAAAAAAAAAAAAACAAAAACAAAGCTGCAAAAATATGTCGGGCCGAATGAAATCGAGGAATTAAGTATTTAAGAGAAAGTGTACACGAATTTCAATTTAGTAAGGCATATAAGTTTACCATCTCACTAATTTTAATTTTCTTTCGCAGGTTTCACCATTTTGGTCTAATCCACAACATATTCTGCAATCTACGTTGTTTTTCTTCTCAAAATCCTCAAATTGAAGAGCACATGTTTTAGGCCTGCAGGTGCAATTTTTTGATTTCTAGATATTTTGATTATTTACTTCATATTCATTTTTCCTCTCTCAAAAAGCTTCATTTTTTTGATAGCTTGCAAAATTCTTCACTAATTATAGAACTTTGGTATATAGTACAATCTCTTATTTAGATTATATTATGCTTTTTAACTTTTTAACTTTTTTCAATTATCCTTTTTTGTTTCCTATCTTTTAACTTAGTTTGCATATAATGAAATATTTTAAACAGTTAAAAGTCCATTTGAAGTCATTTTATTTGATTGGATTGTTAAAAATAAATAATAATTAATAAAATAATTAATATTTATTTTTTAATAAATTAAAGTCAGTTTATAAATTGATATTTCTAAAAATCATAATCATGTGCTTAAGAAAAAAGCTACAAATATTAGTCAAATTAAATATAATTTTGATAGCCTTAAAAAAAGAATAAGTGGCCATAACCCTTGAGATTGATTTTCTAAGCAAATTCACTGCTACGTTTTAGAGATTAAGATAATAAGCAAAGCAATCCACATTAATTTGTCTGTGCGGGTGACATATTGCAGGATGAAGGATGCCTTGATATAAATTAAATAATTGGTAAGATGACTCTTACTGTCTAGGTTTGATAATTAAATAGTTTCATAATTTAAATACACAAAAATCAAATAAAATTAATCAAATTTAGAGGAAGTCAAACTTGACTAATACACTAATAGTAGCATTTTGGATCACAAAAACAGAAGGCAATTTTGTCTTTCTGGAAAAAATGAAACAAAAAAGAAAAAGCAGAAGCTATTGCTATACATTAAAAGGTTGGGAATTATTTCCAAGTCCAATAATGCAGTGGGGCCACGGCCCAGTTCTTCCAATACAGAAAAGAGGTGGTGAATTTTTGCCGAGTCCAATAATGCAGTGAGGAAAATTGCGGACTCAGTTATTACGCTAAGCTAGAAATGCAAAACAAAACAAAAATTA